AGTTAGGGGTGGTGGCTCACACCTGTAATCCCAGCACTTTGGGAGGCTGGGGCGGGCTGATCAGGTCAGATTGAGATCATCCTTGCTAACAAGTTGAAACCCTATCTCTACTAAAAATACAAAAAATTAGCTGGGTGTGGTGGCACGTGTCTGTAATCGCAGCTACTCAGGAGGCTGGGGCATGAGAATCGCTTGAACCTGGTAGGTGGAGTTGCAGTGAGCCAAGATTACACCACTGCACTCCAGCCTGGGTGACAGAGCAAGACTCCGTGTCAAAAAGGAAAGAAAGAAACACCTCTCTGAAAAGTCACCAATAACTTCGTCCTTTTCTTTCTCAACCGCTCCGTGGTATTACATTATCTGTCTTTGTCTTATTCTGAAAACACTTTCCTCATTACATTTTCCAAGAAACTGCACTGCCCAGGTTCTCTTTCACCACATTTTCTGTTTCTACCTACTCGTTGCAGGCACTCCCAAAGGTCTATTCTCCAATGCCTTCTCTTCCGACCATAACCTTCCTCTAAGTGATTCCGTTTTTTCCCATTTTGAGCTACAAAAATTGATTCTTAAATGAAATCACCAACTTGACATTTTCTCTTTAGCTGTAGGCCACATTTTACCATGAAGTAATACATTAGTTGTTGATTTCAAAATAAGTACATTTAATTATGCTGTGTTTCTATTCCCAGGAACTAAACATTTATGCTAAATGTGTGCTGAATAGTCTCAATACCTTTTCTGGATCCATTAATAATATGGATTTTAATAACATATTGTACTATAATGTTAGATTCCCTAATAGTCAATTAGCTTTATGTTCCTGAAATAAAACCGTTTTTAAGATGTGATTTGTTTTTTGTTTTGATAGATGGGCGGTTGCTATGTTGATCAGGCTGGATTCAAATTCCTGGGCTCAAGTGATCCTCTCACCTCAGACTCATGAGCAGTTGGGACTATAGGTTTGCTGCTACACCCAGCCTGATGTTGTATTTATTTTTTAACACATTGCTTGACAGAATTTTGTTCAAGATTTCAAAATATGCATAAATTAAATTGACCCAGAAATGCTATTGGAACATCTTCACTGGATTTTGTATTAAAATATTCTTTTCCCATGCTCTGGAAAATGTTATACATGTATCTATTCCATAACAATTTTCAAGTACCCATAAAATCTTCTGAATCTAGAATTTATTTTTTAAGATAATTCATTAAAATGTTACATTTATTCCATGGTTTCTCATCTATTTAGACTTTTTATTTCTTCTATACCAGTTTTATCTAGATAAAATGCAAAAACAACTTTTTTTTAAATTTGAAGCATGAATAATACTTTTTTATTTCGATAGGTTTTTGGGGAACAAGTGGTATTTGATTACATGAACATGTTCTTCAGTGGTGATTTCTGAGATCTTGGTGCACCATCATGTGAGCAGTGTACACTATGCTCAACATGTAGTCTTTTATCCCTCGCCACCCCCAGCTCTTTCCCCAAGTCCGATGTATCATTCTTATGCCTTTGCATCCTCATAGCTGAGCTCCCACATTAGTGAGAAAATACAATGTTTAGTTCTCCATTCCTGAGTTACTTCACTTAGAATAAGAGTCTCCAATTCCATCCAGGTTATTATAAATGCCATTATTTCATTCCTTTTTATGGCTGAGTAGTATTTCATTTTACACACACACACACACACACACACACACTCCATTTTTTCTATCTACTCATTGATGATAGGCATTTGGACTGGTCACATAGTTTTGCAATCACAAATTGTGCTGCTATAAACATGTGTGTGCAAGCATCTTTTTCATGTAATGACTCATTTTCCACTGGATAGAAACCTAGTGGTGGGATTGCTGATCTCCTTTAGGTCTTTAAGAAATCTCCATACTGTTTTCCATCGTGGTTGTACTAGTCTACATTCCCGCTAGTAGGGTAAAAGTGTTCCCTTTTGACCACATCCATGCCAACATCTATTATTTTTGATTATGGCCATTCTTGCAGGAGTGAGGTGGCAGCACATAGTGGTTTTTGTTAGATTCAAAAAAATGAAATTAGGAATCCGGCTGGATTGATCCCCGGTGGCCTGGAAATTGGGTTTTAATGGAACTTATACACAGGGGGAAAAGGACAATGCCTGAATTTTTTTTTTTAAGCAGAGAATCAGATCATATAATCCTGCCTATAGGCATAAGTGAGTGAATTAGGAGCAAAGCTTTATAGGAGGATACAATAGGTATACTGCCATAGCCTTGGCTCTGGGAGAAGAGGGATAAAAATTCTCACCTAAGATGTCATAATTACAGGCCTTCCCTTGCATGGGACCAGGAATAGAATTTCCATTGCCTCTGTTATTGGAAAAATTCCAAACTGAAAGTAAGTTTAAAATAGTCCTAGGTCAGTAGTGCCCCCCGGGCACCTGGCAAAAGCAAACACATATTATATTTGGAGAAACACATTTAAACTCACCTCTCAAATAATTTCCAAAAATAAAATGTCAAGGTTAGGAGCTCAAAAATAAATAACAGAGAAACAAGCAATCATGACCAGAATCAAGAAGAGGTAGGATCATACATGCAGCAATTACATATTTTGAATAACCAGAAATTAGGAATACATAATTAAAATATTCTATTAATGTATAAATAGAAAGAAATACATAATTTAAAAATTATATTAATGTATAAATGAAGGACAAAGAGACTATCAAAACTGATCATGCAGACTTGAAGACAGACCAAATGGACCTAAAAATGAAAATACAACTGAAATTAGAAATTTAATGTCTGGTTAAATAGATGAATAAACAAATCCGAAGAGAATTAGAGAGCTTCGTAAATAAATATTTACGAAGAAATTGTTTAGAAGTTTCTCAGATGAAAAATGTGAAAAAAAGATGATTAACAGGAAGAATAGAGAGAAAATAGAGTAAGGGAGTGCAGAGACATCACAGAGAAACCATGAGATGAAAAATCAAAGAATTTAATAATTACAGTTTCAAGAGAGATTAGAAAGGGAAAACGATATTTAAATAATGTAAAAGCTGATGATTTCCCAGAATTTTCTTAAGGAAATCACACATCCTCAGAATCAAGAGACAAATCCAAACAGGGTAAATAAAGGGAGAAATTCACACTTAGTCACATGTTGTGAGTTTGTAAAACCCCAAAACAAAGAAAATTTTACAGGCCCCCAAAAAGGTAAAAAAAAAAATTTATTACTTACGACAGGACAACATACCGATGACTAATCTCTCAAGAGCAACAACAGAAGGTAAAAGAATAGTGAAATATCTTCAAAATGCCAAGAGGGCAACTTTCAGGTAAAACAATATCTCCCATTAACACTATCTTTCCCAATTAAGTTGAAATAACGGCATTTGCAAAAGAACAGAGGTTATTATCAACAGATATCACTATAGGAAGGCCTAAAATATGCACTTCATGAAAAAGGAAAACAGCGTTTAAGGAAGGTCTGAGATGCAAAAGATGCTAGCAGTGACAGGAAATGGTAACCATGAGATGAATCTGAAAAACATTTATAAACCTATAGCAATAGTATCTAATTTGGGGATTTTAATAGTAATATTTTCTAAAGAAAACTAATGTTAAAGTCTTAGTTCTTAAAAACTGAAATACTTACAAACGCTAGACTCACTCGTAAGCAGGTTGATCATAATTCAAGCATTATATGTCTTTATAATGTTCAGCAGAATGGTAACTACGAAAAGCGTACAAGAATATGCATAATATCTGTATTAGTAGAGGGGGAAATAATAATAAAGAAAAAGAGCTTAATTCAAAAGTAGACAAGAAAAGGAAAAAAAAGAAAAAAAGGCTAAATTAAAAACCCAAAATTAGATGATAAAAATAAATACACATATATCAGTAATTACAATAAAGATGAATGGAATTGATTATTCTGCTAAAACATAAAATCAGCCACTTACTGTTTATAAGAAAAATACCTCCAATTTAAGGAGAGAGTAACATTAAAACTGTTTTAATAATATAAAATATAATTATTAAAATTATAACTAGATTATGGGGTTAAAACTAAAAGAAAAATAAAATTTATAACAAATTAGAATATAACTTTGAAGGGAGTTGAAAGAAAAGCTGAATGATCTTATAATCATTAAAAAATTTAATCAATAGTTGTCTTTCTCATAAAGAATTAAGTATTCATCCCACTTTTGCTGTAAAAATTATACCTCAGGATAATCAAGTAATTGATGAAGAACCATTCCTTTTTGTAAAAATATAGCCAATAAGCAATAAAGAATTTATAGAATTAAAGTCACCAGGGGCACACTGGGTTTCTCAAGGCACCCGCTTGGCCCTCTGCCCAGTTTCCTTTTCTTCCTTGCCTTTCTCTTTACTGTTCTAAAGCTTTATAATACACTTCTACTCCTTCTCTGAAACTTGCCTCTGTCTCTTTTTCTGCCTTATGACCCTCAGTTGAATTCTTTCTTCTGAGGAGGCAAGAACTGAGGTTGCTACAGACTGATTTGTCACCATGGGACTTGGACACCTTCCACAGGTAACATACTTAGTGCACTGACTCGGTAAGTACCAGAGACTGCCAGCTGGATACATCACACCCGATTAAGCCACGGAAAAGGTCCAAAACGCCAGAGCTAGAAGTCACGCCCTCAGCTCCTGAACACACTTGTAAGGCCCTGGAAGACCTGAGGTTCTTCTTTAAGCAGAAAGGTAAGTCATGTCTTTTCACCTCCAAGTAAGGCCCTCAAGCTCCAGATGGTCCTCCGTGAGGAATACTGTCCTCTCAATATTCAAGAGTCACCCGTCTACAGGGGGCCTCTAGACTGCCTATCAGTGGGACATGACACAGGCGAAATTCTGCCCGTCTCCCATGAACCTGGCTGAATACTGCTCTCACCAACTCACAGAACCAACCCTGACAGCAAGAGGACAAGAGCCACAGAACCACCACCGCCGCCCCTCTCAGCAGAAAGCAGTTAGCGAAGACTGACCTTCGTCCATTTTTCCCCAAGGATTTGGGGCGTCTTGGAATCTTGAGGAAGAAAATGGTGTAGCGGGTAGCTGGTCAGGTCTGAGCAGGGCGGGAGAGGACTCCCACACACGCGCGTGCGCTCGGGCACACACACACACACCCCCCCGCAGGAGTGCTGGGTAACTATCAGGTGAGCATGGTCAGGCAGCTTTTGACTGTTTCTCTAAAGTAATCATTGGCCACAGCCAGTGCCAGAGAAGGTCAGCCTACTAATAGATGTAGACAGGAAACACCTGAAACTGATCAGCAGCTTCCCAAGAAGATCTCAGGAGGGGAGAGAAGGAACTCAAGGTACCGGAAGTATGCCAAGGTATAAAACCCCAAGTCAAGAGGTCAAGACACACACTTGGTTTCTTGTTTATTTTTTGGTTTTTGTTTCTTTGCTTGTTTGAGAAGAAGTTTCACTCTCGTTACCCAGGCTGGAGTGCAATGGCTCAATCCCCGCTCACTGCCTCCTGGGTTCAGGCAATTCTCCTGCCTCAGTCTCCTGAGTCGCTGGAACTACAGGCACGTGCCACCATGCCCGGCTAATTTTTTGTATTTTTAGTAGAGACGGGGTTTCACCATGTTGACCAGGATGGTCTTGATCTCTTGACCTCATGATCCACCCGCCTTGGCCTCCCAAAGTGCTGGGATTACAGACTTGAGCCACCACACCCGGCCACACACTTGGTTTCTAAAGTCACCCACTTGGCTGTCTTCCAAGTGTATTTTTCTTCTTTCCTTTCCTTACTGCTCTAAAGCTTTTACATAAACTTCCACTCCCGCTCTAAAATAAAGGGGGAAAACAATTACCAGGACAGGCGCTGTGGCTCATGCCGGTAATCCCAGCACTCTGGGAGGCCAAGGCGGGAGAATCAGTTGAGCCCAACCAATCAATCAATCAAGTACAACAATAAAGTTTACTAATGTGTAGATAGGAAGCACCTGAAACGTGTGTTGTCCTGCCTGTCTCTCCAAAACTCAGTCCTGGTTGTCTCCATTTTTCTACCCATTTCCTCCCTTCAGGGCTCTGACTGCCATTCCCTGGCTATAAGTGCTATCTATGTGTTGATGGTTTTCACATTTAGTTTCTGGTCCAGAACTTCAGCTTTATATCCATCTGCCTACATGACAACTTCACACGGATGTACCATAAACATCTCAAACATACACTGTTCAAAACTTAACTTCTGATTTCTCCCAACAAACCTACCTCAACCAGCCTTCCTCTATTCAACTGACGCCAATTCCCTCCTACCAGTTACTCATAACTGGGCTTCCTGTTGCAATCTGACTCCATCTCATACAATTTTCCTCGTTATGTTCCAGCTTCACTGGCCTGCTTTTTTTGTACTTCTTAACCCTCAGACAGACTCCCACGGAACAGCCTTGGCACTCATTGTTGCCTCTGCTTGGAATGTTTGTCCCCCAGAGATCCGTATGGTAAACTCCCTCACTGTTTTCACGTCTTTGCTTAAATGCAATTTTCTCAATGAAGTACACTGTTAATATACAGTGGAACTTCAGAGTCATTGATCATTATTGCCTAGGTTCATTATTTCATTAGCGGTTTCAAAGAGTTGTATTTTATTGTGTGTGGCGGTGTTGGTTTTGTTTTTTGTTTTTCTTTTTCCATAGAGATGGGTTTTTGCCATGTTGCCCAGGCTGGTCTCAAACTCCTGAGCTCCAGTGATCTGCCCACCCCAGGTTCCCAAAGTACTGGGGTTACAGGTGTGAGCCACGGCATCTGGATTCACTTTCTTCTTATAAACGATATGATTTATTACATATTGGGGTTACTTTTTGTAAAGTCTAAGAATATATAATTACGTGAGGGGAGGGATTTTAGTCTTCTCTGTTCAGTCCCCTAATACAGCACAAGTACATAGAACAGTGTCTGGCTTAGTAGGCATTCAATAAATATTTGTTAGTGAAAATCTATGGATTATGTCCTTTATGTTTGTTTTATAAATTATTCCATGTGCTTAGGTCATGAAGACAGTCCTCGTTTCTTCTAATTGCATTACATTTTTGCCTTTCACATTTACTTCATAATCTATATGGAATTGCTTTTGTGTATGGAGTAAAGTGAGAATGTAATTTCATTTTCCACGTCTGTTCATTTCTACAGAATAAAACCCAAAACTATTAGCATAACACTGAGGGGACTTCGTGATCCAGGTCCACTTCCTCTCTCCTGGGTTATCGCCGACTCCCACCCTCTGAAGCCTTGATTCAACTACACCGAACTACTGACAATTTTTGAGAACATGAAATTGTTAAAAAGTAAAATCTGTATTTGTGGACAATATAACTATATCCTAGAAAATCCCCCAAAAAGTCATTTGAAAAGCAGTTAATAAGCATTTAGAACAATTGTTCAAATGTCTGCATCTATTTTTTTTAGAGATGGAGTCTCACTCTGTTGCCCTGGCTGGAGTGCTGTGGCACGATCTCAGCTCTCTGCAACCTCCGCCTCCAGGGTTCTAGCAATTCTCTTGCCTCAGCCTCCCAAGTAGCTGGGACTACAGGTGCACACCGCCATGCCCGGCTAATTTTTTGTATTTTAATAAAGACAGGGTTTCACCATGTTGCCCAGATTGGTCTCGAACTCTTGAGCTCAGGTAATCCATGCACTTGGCCTCCCAAAGTGCTAAGATTACAGGCATGAGCCACTGCACCCAGCTGTATCTTAAAATGATTGTAAAGAGATCAAATTATGTGAGACATGCTTGTAATATTGATAAAAACAGAATTTTAAATTATATCTACCACATGCTCTAATCAAAGATTTTAAAAACTTAAATATGAAATAAATTTTAAAGAAGTACTAAAATGTTAACATTAATGGCTATGATATTTGGTAGGAAAAATTTTTCCTACTTCCTAGTTTTATTTCATGCATATAACTTAGGTTTGTTTTTGTTTTTGTTTCTGTTTTTGTTTTTTTGACATAGGTTCTTGCTCTCGAGTACAGTAATTCGATCATGGCTCACTGCAGCCTCACACCACCATCCCCAGCTAATTTTTGTATTTTTTCAGAAGACATGGTCTTGCTATGTTGCCCTGGCTGGTCTCGAACTCCTGGGTTCAAGCAGTTCTCCTACTTCAGCCTCCCAAATGCTGGCATTACAGGTGTGAGCCACTGCACCTGGCCTTAAGTTAGTTTTATAGTGAAAACAATTTTAAAGAAAAACATTTCATATTTGCATGCAAATACCAATGCAATTTATCCATGATAAGAGAAGTTCCACTGAATTTCACATAAAGCCTTGAAGAATAGGGACTTTAGCTATAATTTTATATCAGTCATAACTACCAAAAAACTGAAATGTTTAATGTGGAATATTAAGTGTGTATGTCTAGAAAAAACACCGAGGTTCATTGTCACTGAGGTTAAATGACTAAATAATAAAGAGATTGGGGGGGACATTTATTAAACATTTTCTATGCTATACCTAAGCACCGTGCTAATTACTTTAAATATATTATCTCATTTTTCATTTTAATCCTCAGAGTAACTCTACGACAGAGATCAGCAGAGGTAATTAAGAGCATAAACTCACGGCTTTTCATCTACATATAGTGAGTAGAACCAAGAAAGTCGGTTTGCTGATGGGTCCTACACAAAATTACCAGGTAATATTAGATTCTATTGTACAACTCAAAGTGTCCCTAAAGATTAGCTATCCCAGTATTTCATAGATGAGGAGTATATTAGGCGGTTCTCACACATCTGTAAAGATACTACCCAAGGCTGTGAAATGTATAAACAAAGGAGTTTTAATTGACTCACAGTCTCTCATGGCTGGGGAGGCCTCAGGAAACTTACAATTATGGCAAAAGGCAAACGGGAAGCAAGAACCTTCTTCACATGGCAGCAGGAGAGAGAGGTGCAAGCAGGGGAAATGCCAGACACTTCTAAAACCACCAGATCTCATGAGAACTCATGCACTACCATGAGAACAGCATGAGGGAAACCACGCGCAGGATCCAATCATCTCCTCCCCGGATGAGGGAATTACAATTTGAGATGGAACACAGAGCCAAACTATATCAAGAAAATTTCAGTATTCAGAGAGAAAAGGGGTTAATGATCATACAACTTGTTAAAGGTAATAACACCAATTCCAGAATCACTGTTTCATTATTCTTCCGATTATAGCATGCTTTGTTTCCTGATCACTGAGTTTAAATCAAAATGATTGAATATTTGCCTTCAAAAATTACCCTGACAATGTGCTCTTCCCCAAATGGATTATTTTCAAAAAGGAATTTTTAAAAGCTCTCCTGTCCATTCACTTGAACACTGGAGATTTCAAGGACAATACCTTGAGGCCACATACTGATGCACCATCTGCTTTGGGGAAATAAACATAGTATACCCTCTTGAGGAAGCAGTACAGCTTTCAATATATACATTTTCTATTAAAATGTTTATAAAGCAATTCTCCCTTTTGTTGCTACCAAATGAAAACACTGTATCTTCTATTAAAAATTCATTAAAGAATGCCATCCACAAAAAGATTCAATTAAGTATATGCACTGTGACCTGTACTGAGTTGTTCTATAAGACAACATAATCCCATTTTTATTCTAAGCTCCTCTCTGGAGGAAAAACTTGGATTTCATTGAGAAAAACGACTGTTCTCTCAATTAGAGACCCAGTGGAATCTGACTATGTGAACTGTCCTGAGTATAGGGTGGGAAAGAGACCACTCATACTCTATCTCACACACATACACAGCCTTCCTATAGTATCCTTTCTACGTAAGATTAACCAGTGTTAATGTTTTTTGAAGAAACAGCACAGCGCTCATTCATTTTTCTCTATAAGCCCATTGCAGGTCATGCCCTCTTCCAAGCTGGACGTGCTGAAAATCATAAGTAAACACTCTCAGGCCTTACTTAAGCATCCCACGGAAACTGTGCTCTCTCCTCTCTGATGACAGAGAGCCCCCATCTGTCTTTTGCATTGTAGACTCTTCCAGACAATCTAATTAAACTTCTTTCCATGTGCAGAAATCCCCACTGCAGGAACAACAGGCCCTCCATATTCTGCTTGAATGGCCTGAAATGATGAAAGACGAGGCAACTTGTGCATTGCAGAAGTAGCTTCAGTGTGAGTTTCCTCCTATATTGGTCCCGGAGTCTGACAGTGTTTGTCTAAATGTCTCATGGGTTATTAGACATGACTACCTCCACAAGAGAGGCAATAATTAAACTGTGTGAGGATGGCAGTTTTGTTCCCTCATTCATTTCATTTACCCAGCACTTTCTATGTGTCTTGATGTTCTGTAAGACCTTAATCTTTATTTATTAAAAATACATACGGCAAAAATAAGGGCTTAGGCACTTGGGGTTGTAATTTTTTCTCACTTACAAACTTTTTATTCCTGGTTAGTCATTTTTTAAGTGCTGAACTATACACTGGTTTCACCAAAATTACCAGGAAATTATTATTTTAATAGTAATAGTAGTAGTATTTCGAGATAGGGTCTCATTCTGTCACCCAGGCTGGCATGCAGTGGTGCGATCTTGGCTCACTGCAACCTCCACCTCCCAGTTCAAGCTCTTCTCCATGCCTCAGCCACCCCAGTAGCTGGGATTACAGGTTTGCCACCACCCCTGCTAATTTTTGTATTTTTAGTAGAGACAGGGTTTCACCATGTTGGCCAGGCTGGTCTCGAACTCCTGTCCTCAAGTGATCTGCCTGCCTCAGCCTCCCAAAGATCCAGGATTATAGGCGTGAGCCACTGCACCTGCCTGAAAATATTTTTTTAATCTTGGGTCCGGCCCCTAAAGATCATGATTCAGAAAGTCTGGAGTAAAGCTTGGGAAATCACATTAAAAAAAAAAAAAAACCCTGTTCAACACATTCTGGTACATATCTTGGTACAATTTTAAGAACTACTGATCTAAATAACTCCTGAATCTCTAGGGTCTCTTTAGTATTCTACAACTGGGAACTGTTACTATGCTTATCAGTATTTAAACTCACTATGTACACTAATTGTGACTTCCACCCTACGACAATGAAAATATGCCTTTTCAATACCCTATATAGCAGGTTAGATTCCATGGAAACAGCCTTGGAATCAGAGGTTAGCATTCAGGAAGGTTGTTTGGGAGGGACTGATAACTATGGGGTAAGAAAATGAAGCAGGATTGGGCAGAATGAGAAACTGGGCTGAGATACCATCTCAGAAAAGACCTCAGCTGACTCTCACAAGCGGTTCTGAGGTTGGACTAGCTCTTTGATGCTGTTCTGAGTTGGGATGGGGGAGTGGGTCTCTCTACTAGGTATGGACCTGTCATTGGATGCAGGCTACCTCAGGAAGAGGTCATGATCTCGGCAAAGTGGTTTCTTCATCAGAGGGCAACCAATGGGGAAGTAAATTCCTTCAGTGCAGAAGGGGCATTTGGGTGCACTTCCCAACATCCACTTACCCCCTTCACAGGAGAAAAGATGGCAAGAGTTAGACCCAAGCATTCGTCAGCAGAGGACAGTGTTTAAGCCACCAAAAAGAGCACATTACTATCTCTCACTTCCTCCCAGTTCAAGCACTGGATGTTTATAGAATGAGTCACCACTAAAATGAAGCATGAATGTCCACATGGAATTATTTCTAATGCCTTAAATGGTACTTCTTCGGGCTCTTCATGCCTACAGTTTTGATAAATCAGAGTAAACTGCTTGCTTTCAAACAACCGGTCTTTTCTGTTTGTTGGTTCAAAAGATTTGCAGCTACTTGGGAGGCTGAGGAGGGAGGATCAACTGAGCTCAGGAGTTCAAGGCTGCAGTGAGCTATGATTAGTGCCACTGCACTCCAGCCTGGGCAACAGAATAAGACCCGTCTCAAAAAAGGAAAAAAGAAGAGTGTCTCAAAAATAAATAAAACAAAACAAATATAAAATAAAATGGTCCCTGAATCCCATCTTCAGAATTGCTTATTCATAGATCTGGAGAGGAGCTCAGAAATCTGCGCTTTTAACAAACACCATGACTGGTTGTGACACAGGCAGCCCCCAGCCATATTTTGAGGGGAAAAAAAAACGAATTAAGAAAATCTTAAAACAATCAGTGACTATATATAATACATATACTAAAATGAAACACATAATGTATACACCAGCTTGCATCTTAAGACTTCAGTGAGAAAGAGGATGTGGATGAAAAAGAAACCTGTTTAGACAAAGGAAGATCATGTGATGAAAACGATCTCTCCTATCTCTTCCTGCTGAGGGAAAAAAACCTGTAGACTCTCTGTACAGAAAAATAATGCCTGCCCCAGGCAAAGAGGAAGAGAAGATACAAAAAGCATCTAAGGCCAGAGCTGGTCCCTGGTCATTATCAATATGGAACAGGCAACAGCTAAAAGTCGTAGCACCTTTTAAAATATCTGGGAAATGCAAACAGATCTAGGGATCTTCCACCATCGAAGACATTTGGAAAAAGGAATTATCACAGTTTTGCTCAATGCAGAACAAGAATCATAATCAGACTAGGCAAAGGCTGAGAACAGTTGAAGGTTTTAGGTGTTGCTCTAATTGTTGCCTTTGGAATAGATATGTCATTAGTAGTCAATCTTCTATAATATTTGTAATATTATATATTACATAATATATATAGTAAATAATATATATAGTACATATATAGAGTAAATAATATTTGTAAATATATATAGCAAATACTATTTGTTCCATACTAAAGTCTTACTATTTTAGAAAAAGTATGACTAATATTATTATGTATTACTGGCAACAAACAAATAGAAAATATAATTTTAAAAATAACATTTAAAAAGCATCGGAGGACCACCGCGGCAGACAAGAGGCAGGACTAGATTGTAGCTCCAACTCGGACAGACAGAGCAGCGTGCAGAGTCTTGCGCTGTGAATTTTAGCTCTCAAACAACTGCAAGAAACAACGAGGAATCCCAAGAGGTCCCACAGATCCTCTACAGGAAGAGGACTGCTCTTGCAGGATCCGGGAAACACCCCAAATACTGTGAGTGCCCAAGCCGTGGAAGTGGGAAAGTGAGACCCTCCGCCCCTGAACACACACCCCTACTGGGGAAACTGAAGGTCTAGTTTGTGGGAGAAGTTTCTGACCTTACCTGGAGCTCAGTCCATCCAGAGAGCCGAGTGAAATACAGGGGTGAAAGAAGCAGCGGGAAACACCCTGGGAGCTTGCTGGGTCCCCAAGGAGGCCATTCTGGCCTGGCACCACAGGGATCCTTTGGGAGGGTGGCCAGAGGCACAGGGGAAAACATCGGGGTAGAGGAAGAACCAAAACCCTTTGCTTTTGCAGCTGGGAGATGGGTCGCCTGGAGCAAGTTCTTAAGTCCTGCTCACTCATGGCCTGGAAACAGACTTGGGGCTGTTAGGGCACAGGATGGGAGTGAGACCTGCCCATCAGATTCCATAGGAGCTGAGCAAGGCCTGTGCTGATGGATTTCCCCCACTTCCCTGACGACCTGACTGACTCAGCAGAGGCAACCATAATCCTTCTAGGTAGATAACAGTGACCTGGGAATCTCACCCCCTCCCCTACAGCAGCCACAGCAAGACTTGCCCAAGGAGAGCCTGAGCTCAGACATACCTAGCCCTTCCCCTACCTGAAAGGGCTTCCCTACCCACCCTTGTAGCTGAAGACAAAGTGCATATACTCTTGTGAGTTCTAGGGCCCCACTCACCACCAGTTCCTTTCCATACTACCATAGATGATGTTTTCTGGAAAGTGCCACCTCCCAGCAGGAGGTCAACCAGCACAAAAATAGGACATTAAGCCACCAAAGCTAAGAACCCTCAGAGTCCATTTCATCCCCTGCTACCTCCACCAGAATAGATGTGGGTATCCACAGCTGAGAGACCCATAGATGCTTCACATCACAGGACTCTGTGTAGACAACCCCCAGTACCAGCCCAGAGTCAAGGAGACTTGCTGGGTGGCTAGACCCAGAAGACAGATAACAATCACTGCAGCTCAGCTCACAGGAAGCCACATCCATAGGAAAATGGGGAGAGTACTACATGAAGGGAACACCCCATGAGACAAAAGAATCTGAACAACAGCCTTCAGTCCTCTACCTTCCCTATGACAGAGCCTACCCAAATGAGAAGGAACCAGAAAATCAACTCTGGTAATATGACAAAACAAGGCTCTTTAACACCCCCACTCCCAAAATCACACTAGTTCACCACCAGTGGATCCAAACCAAGAAGAAATCCCTGATTCACCTGATAAATAATTCAGGAGGTTATTAAGCTAATCAGGGAGGCACCAGAGAAAGGTGAAGCCCAATGCAAGGAAATCCAAAAAATGATACAAGAAGTGAAGGGAGAAATATCCAAGAAAATAGCAAAAACAAACTATCAAAACTTCAGGAAACATTGGACATACTTAGAGAAAATGCAAAATGCTCTGGAAAGTCTCAGCTATAGAATTGAACAAGTAGAAGAAGGAAATTCAGAGCTCAAATACAAGGTCTTCAAATTAACCCAATTCAACAAAGACAAAGAAAAAAGAATAAGAAAATATAAACAAAGCCTCCAGGAAGTCTGAGATTGCGTTAAATGACCAGATCTAGGAATAAACAGTGTTCCTGAGAAAAAAGAGAAATCTAAAAATTTGGAAAACATATTTGGAGGGATAATTGAGGAAAAATTCCCCAGCCTTGCTAGAGATCTGGACATCTAAATACAAGAAGCATAAAGAACACCTTGGAAATTCATCAAAAAAAGATCATTGCCTAGACACATTGTCATCAGGTTATCTAAAGTTAAGATGAAGGAAATAATCTTAAGTGAGAGAAAAATACCAGGTAACCTATAGAAAATCTATCAGACTAACAGCAGATTTCTCAGCAGAAACTCTATGAGCTAGAAGTGATTGTGGCCCTATATTCACCCTCATCAAACAAAACAACTATCAGCCAAGAATTTTGTATCCAGCAAAACAAAGGATCATATATGAAGGAAAGATACAGTCATTTTCAGACAAACAAATACTGAGAGAATTCACCACTACCAAGCCATCCCTACAAGAACTGCTAAAAGGAGCTCTAAATCTTCAAACAAATCCTGGAAACACATCAAAATAGGACCTTTTTAAAGCAAAAATCACACGGGACCTATAAAACAAAAATACAAAGTTAAAAAGCAAAAACAAAAAAACAAGGTACACGGGCAACAAATCATACAATGAATGCAACAGTACCTCACATCTCAACACCAACATTGAATGTAAATGGCCTTAATGCTCCACTTAAAAGATACAGAACTACAGACTGGATAAGAACTCACCAACCAACTATCTGCTGCCTTCAGGAGGCTCATCTAACACATAAGAACTCACATAAACTTAAAGTAAAGGGGTAGAAAAGAGCACTTTATACAAATGGACACCAAAAGTGAGCAGGATAGCTATTCTTACATTAGACCAAAAAAAAAAAAACAAAAAAACAACTTTAAAACAAGAGCGGTTAAAAAAGACAAAGAGGGACATCATATAATGGTAAAAGACCTTGTCCAACAAGAAAATATCACAATCCTAAATATATATGCACCTAACACTGGAGCTCCCAAATTTATAAAACAATTACTAGTAAACCTAAGAAATAAGATAGCCACACAATAATAGTGGGGACTTCACTATGACACTGACAGCACTAGACAGGTCATCAGGACAGAAAGTAAATAAAGAAACAATGGATTTAAACTTTGCCTTGGATCAAATTCACTTAACAGACATACACAGAACATTTCTTCCAACATCCACAGAATACACATTCTATTCAACAGCGCATGGAACTTTCTCCAAGATAGGTCATATGATAGGCCACAAAATGAGCCTCAATAAAGCTAAGAAAATTGAAATTATATCAAACACTCTCTCAGACCACAGTGGAATAAAACTGGAAATCAACTCTAGAAGGAACCTTCAAAACAATGCAAATACGTGGCAATTAAATAACCTCCTGAATAATCATTGGGTCAAAAACAAAATCAAAATGAAAATTTGAGAATTCTTCAAACTAAATGACAATAATGACATAACCTATCAAAAGCTCTGGGATACAGCAAAGGAGGTGCTAAAAGAAAAGTTCATAGCCCTAAACACCTACATCAAAAAGACTGAAAGAGCGCAAACTGATACTCTAAGGTCACACCTCAAGGAAATAGAGAAACAAGAACAAACCAAACCCAAACTCAGCAAAAGAAAAACAAATAACGAAGATCAGAGCAGAGCTAAATGAAATTGAAACCAAAAAAAAAAAAGATACAAAAGATAAATCAAACAAAAAGCTGGTACTTTGAAAAGATACATAAAATTGGTATAACCAAGAAAATAGAGAAAAAAATCCAAATAACCTCAGTGAGAAACAAAACAGGAGATATTACAACTGACACCACTGAAATACTAAAGAACATTCAAGGATACTATGAACACCTTTACCCACATAAACTAGAAAACCTAGAAGAGATGGATAAGTTCCTAGAGAAATGCAACCCTCCTACCCTAAGTCAGGAAGAATTAGACACCCTGAGAAGACTAGTAACAAGCAGCAAGATTGAAATGGTAATTTAAAAATTACAAACAAAAAAAGTTCAGGACCAGATGGATTCACAGCAGAATTCTACCAGACATTCAAAGAATAATTGGTTCAAATCCTTTTGACATTATTCCACAAGATAGAGAAAGAGGGAACTCTCCCTAATTCATTATATGAAGCCAGCATCACCCTAATATCAAAACCAGGAAAGGACATAACCAAAAAAGAAAACTACAGACTGATATCCTTGATAAACATAGATGATAAAATCCTTAACAAAACACCAGCTAACCAAATCAACAACATATTGAAAAGATAATTCACCATGATCGAGTGGGTTCAAACCAGGTATGGAGGGATGGTTCAACATACCCAAGTCAATAAATGTGATACACCACATAAACCGAATTAAAAACAAAAATCACATGATTATCTCAAAAGATGCAGAAAAAGCATTCAACAAAATTTAGCATTCCTTTATAATTAAAACTCTCAGCAAAATCAGCATACAAGGGACATACTCTATGTAATAAAGCCATCTATGACAAACCCACAGTCACACAATACTGAATGGGGGAAAGCTGAACATATTCCCTCAGAGAACTGGAACAATACAAGGATGCCCACTCTCACCACTGTTCTTCAACATAGTACTGGAAGTCCTAGCCAGAACAATCAGACAAGAGAAAGAAACAAAGGGCATCCAAATTAGTAAATAGGGAGTCAAACTGTCACTGTTTGCTGATGATAAGATCATTTACCTTGAAAACCCTAAGAACTTCTCTGGAAAGTTCCTAGAACAGATAAAGGAATTCAGCAAAGGCCAGGAGCAGTGGCTCACACCTATAATCCCAGCACTTTGGGAGGCCGAGGTGGGTGGATCACGAGGTCAAGAGATTAAGACCATCCTGGTCAACATGGTGAAACCCTGACTCTACTAAAAATACAAAAATTAGCTGGGCATGGTGGCGCGTGCCTGTAATCCCAGCTACTCAGGAGGCTGAGGCAGGAGAATTGCCTGAACCCAGGAGGCAGAGGTTGCGGTGAGCCAAGATCGCGCTATTGCACTCCAGCCTGGGTAACAAAAGTGAAACTCTGTCTCAAAAAAAGAAAAAAAAAAAAAGAATT